CTGATGATAACAGAAAATCATCTTTCAGAAGTTAAATACAAGATCAGATTATACACATGGCCCTATCTCATCACTATCTCCTTAAACTCAGCAACTGTCTCTGATTTTGCCCCCTGACATCCGAACATTGGATGAATAGAAATTTCCCTTTAACTATGTATTAGGAAGATTGAAGTAATTATCTTTGGTCTCTTCCACAAACACTGTGCACGGTTTCTATCTTTACTTAAACTAGTATAACTTTATAATGTTAGTTAGTTTGACCTGGAATTGAGTTTTTAATACATATTACTACCAAGACTATCTTCCTTCACGCTTGGTAACATTACTTAAATCCAATATTCCATTAGGTCATCTGCTGAAACCCTCAACTATGCCCTTGTTACCTCTCCAACTGTCCCCTTCATTACTCTGCTTGTCAGCCTCTTATCTTCCACTCTACATAAATGGGTGCCTATCCAACACTCAATTGACTCTTTAACTCACTCCCAAGTTCCATTCAGTCATCACCCCGTGTTTGTTGATCTCCACTGGTTCTTTGACAGTGCCTCAATTTTAAAATTCTCACTTGGTTTTCAAATCCTTCTACGATTTCACCTCTCCTCATCTGTCCTGTTTTGCCCAGCTTTACAAGCCTTTGACATTTCTCCAATCCTTCAAATCTGGCGTTTTGTTCATTCCTGATTTTAATCATTCTATCACTTGTGATCAAACTTTGACCCCAAATTTAGGACTTGCTCTCTACTTTGCTATCACCCCCTATATTATTTCCTTGTTTAAGATAGAGTCATAGAGTCATAACATTATACAGAACAGATACAGACCTTTCCATCCAACTTGCTCATATCAACTAGCTGTCATCAACTGATCTAGTCCCATTAGCCAGCATTTGGCCCATATCCCTCTAAATCCTTCCTATTCATGTTCCCATCCAGATGCCTTTTAAATGTTGTAACTAAACCTGCCTCCACCAATTCTTCTAGCAGCTCGTTCCATATGTTCCATTCACCCTCTGTGTGGAAAAAGTTGCCACTCAGGTTCCTTTTAAAGCTTTTCCCTCTCCCCTTCAATCTATGCCTTGTAGTTTTGGACTCCCCACCCTGGGAAAAAGACTTTGGCTATTCACCCAGCCATGCCCCTCATGGTTTAATAAACCTCTATAAGATCACCCCTCAGCTTCCCATGCTCCAGAGGAAAAAGCCTCAGCCTATTAAGCCTCCCTATAGCTCAAAGCCTCCAATTCTGACAATATCCTTGTAAAGATTTTCTGAACCCTTTCAAGTTTCACAACGTCTTTCCAATAGCAGGAGACCAGAATTGAATACAGCATTCTAAAAGTGGCCTAACCAATGTCCGACCAGAATTGAATACAGCATTCTAAAAGTGGCCTAACCAATGTCCTTTACAGCTGCGAAATGACATCCCCACTCTTAAACTCACTGCACTGACCAATGATGACAAGCATGCCAAAGCCTTCTTCACCACCCTGCCTACCTGCAACTCCACTTTCAAGGAATTGTGCAACTGTACCCCTAGGATTCTTCATTCAGCAACATTCCCCAGTGCTTCATTAACAATATGTTCTGCGCTGATTTGCCTTACCAAAATGTAACACCTCACATTTATCCAAACTAAAGTCCATTTTCCATGCCTTGGCCTATTGGCCCATCTGATCAATGTCCCATTGCACTCTGAGATAACATTCTTCACTGTCCACTACACCACCTAATTTGGTGTAATCTGCAAACTTACTAACGATACATCCTATACTCACATCTAAATAATTTATGGAAGTGACAAAAAGCAGTGGACCAAGCAACGATACTTGCGGCATTCCACTGGTTACAAGCCTCCAGTCTGAAAAACAACCCTCTGCCAACACCCTCTGTCTCCTACTGTCCATCCAATTTTGTATCCAATTGGCTATCTCCCCCTAGATTCCACGTGATCTAACCTTACTAAACAGTCTACCATGTGAAACCTTGTTGAATGCCTTGCTGAAGTCCATACAACACCTACTGCTCTGCCTTCATCAACCTTCTTTGTCACTTCTTCAAAAAACTCAATCAAATTGGTGAGACACAATTTCCCACACACAAAGCCATGTTGACTATCCCTAATCAGTCCTTGCCTTTCCAAATGCATGCCAATCTTGTCAGTCCTGTTCCTCAGAAACCCCTCCAACAACTTAGCCACAACTGATGTCAGGCTCACTGGTCTGTAGTTTCCTGGCTTTTCCTTACCACCTTTTTTAAACAATGGCACGACATTAGCCAACCTCCAGTCTTCCAGCACCTCACCCGTGGCTATTGATGATGCAAATATCTCAGCAAGGGGCCCAACAATCTCTTCCCTAGCTTCCCACAAAGTTCTGGGATACACCTGATTAGGTACAGAGGATTTATCCAAATTTATGCAGCTTAAGATGACCAGCACCACCTCTTCTGTAATATGAATACTTTTTAAGATATCACCCCAAGTCTCTAGCTTCCATGTCCTTCTCCACAGTAAATACTGATGCAAAATACTCATTTAATATCTCACCCATCACCTGTGGTTCCACACATAGACAATCTTGTTGATTTTTTTAAGGTGCCCTATTCTTTCTCTTGTTACTCTTTTATCCTTAAAGTATTTGTAGGATCTCTTTGTATTCTCCTTTACCCCATTTGCCAAAGCTATCTCACGTCTCCTTTTTGCCCTCTCAATTTTTCTCTTAAGTATGCTCCTACTGCTCTTACCCTGATCACACATTTTGTCATCTTGCCTAGTGTAACACTCTATAGCTCTGTATCAGTGCTTTTATTAAGTGCCCTGTGACATTTTACGATGTTAACAGCTCTGTAAATTATAATCAGGTGATAACTAACCTTGCACTCCAATTATGTCTGCAGTTGTGATTTTAAGACTCCCGTGCTTTGCCATTTTAATTTATTCTAATCACCACAGATCTTAAATGTAACTTCTATGGGTTTGGTTTTTGGAATAAAATGGGAGAGAGTCAATATGTGAAAATCTTCACTTGTATTTTGCCAGTGGAAGATATTTCTGCTGCTTTTCTCAGACTGGTTTTGTTTCCTTATTCAGATGTCTGCATTCTACTGTTTTCTCCTGTTTTTGCTTCAGACCTGATTTACCCCTGCTAGCTTAACTTTTCACATGTCCTTCAACATGTCTTTAAGTTCATTATTATTATTATTATTATTATTATTATTATTATTATTATTATTATTATTATTATGTCATTTGATAGAAATATCATCTTAACTATCTTATCATTTGTCCTTTAAGGCACCTTATAGGTAAATGTAACTGTATTTATCACTTAATTTCCTCCCCTCTTCATTCAACCTCTTGCCCCTCACTTTCATTTTGTACTGATCTACTTAAACGTTGCTCAATTTTTATTTTTTCTGGTCTCATTAACTCAACAGTGCTCTGAACGTATGCCTGCACAGTATTTCAGATATCCAACATTTAAATTTGTTTTTACATTTTACTGTACTTCCTGAATTTCGGCTGTTGAGTCATAAATTAAGGTAAACTAAGGAAAGTTACATTATAGCCTTCCAAATTTCGGTACAATTTCTGCAGAATGCCAAGAATACTACATGTGAGCAGTGTTGTTTGCATGTGTGATGAATTAAGTTGTTGAAAGTCAGCAGGAGAGTGTGACAAAGAAACTCACAAAGGAAGAGGGAATGCAAGACGATCACAAGAGGTGTGGTAAAATTCAGAAGGAAACACAATTTTGTATTCTCATTTACTGTTTCCTAAAATTTCCGAAAGTTGGAATTGAGGACACTCAAAATTATGGATAATGGGGCTCAATAATACATAAAGATACTTGAGTGATCTTCCTATTCATGGTGTGGAAATAATTAGTCCAGTTAGGGTAATTAAATAATGCTCTGGGTAACATACTGTACTGGAATTTCACCTCTGGGATTTGAGTTAAAATGTAACATTGTCTGGTGAAATAAATATGTCTGCTGTTAATGAACCATAAGCCTCAATCCAATTTCTGATGGACATGAGTCCTGAAATTTGGTGCAACTTGTCAAAATAACTCAGAGGCATCTGAGAATAATTGTTGTAGGAAAGAAGTGCCAATATGGGCATTGGCTGAAAGCATGAAGCACCAGAAACAAATTAACCCACCATGATGTCCACTCAAGGATATTTGGAATTCATTTATTTTTACTGCCTGGTTGTCAAGCAGAGTAACTTCACTTTCCAGTCACATATTGTACGGGTGGATGTTATATCAACTCTGACTACTGTATTCTGCCAACACCAATGCAACCACCTAAAATTTGGGCTAGGGCATGCTGTTGCATCTGGTTCTCCCATTTCTGAATGGAATGTGTTTAATGTTACTGGATTCTTGAAATGGAACATGTTCCAGCAGCTGGCATTATGAACATTCCTCACCACGAAAAACACACCAGAAGAACGATTGGGTACCAGCCATCTGTCAGTGAGATGGAGGATGAAGGTACATGGACTTTTGCCAGGTGTATGCAATGTTCTGCTTGGTAGCTTATTGGGAAACACCTAGAAGAATACGGAAAATATACCAGACTGCAGATTGCAATAAATGTTTGGATTTTCGTTGGATGTCTGCTTCTGCTGTAGCACTTGACCTCCCGCCCATAAGAAAACGGCTCCGAGAACCTCATCAGGGGACCCTGCCTACCAGAATGGATTCATCTGGTTGTGCCTGGCGCAGTTGTCGACGGAAAGGCAGACTTTCCACATAAATCTGAAAGCTAGTATGATTTATAGGCAAAATTGGACCGAATGTTGTGGCCTGTTTTATAACATATGCTCCTGTTTGCTGCTAATCTCGTTTCTTTGCTGATAACAGATCAGATTACAGTATGTTTTCAATTAGCCACAATCTCTTTTAACTCCCAGATACAAAACAGACCGAGAGAGGGCAGAATCCGAGAAAGGTGAAGTTGAATGTTGGGGACACTGCGTGGAACTGTCATGATTGAGCAACCGGTTCAGCAGTCTGTGAGATTGACCGAAGGAAGCCAGGATTCCAGGGTTCTGGCCAGAACCAGCAGGTGCAGACAGCACGGAGTTTAGGCAGACGGCCAACTTGAAAGGAGATTTCGTTCAAACATGGAAAGTCTTCAGAATAGCGTGAAAAAGAAAGCGACTGAAAGGCATTACAAGGCTGAAGTACTAATTACAGGCGAGCAATTAAGGTAAAGAGACCGCATGTTGTCCGGAGAGGCGTTTGGGGCTTGGAAATGCTGTACCTTTATGATCTGTGGATAATCCAACGCATTTTTTTAAATGTGGAAAATGTGTAACCACAAGTTAAATTTGGAACGATTTACGAATCTGACAGCCGTTGGCTTTCTGATGCATGTTATCGTCCTGTTGATCCAGGATTAAAAAAAAAAGTTCCCACAAAAACAAAGTGACCGAAAGGTCGATTTCCCGTTGTTTGAAAACTTTTTAAAGTTTATGTTAAAAAATGTGCTGTTTATTTATTTCTGTAACTAGATGCACTGACATGCAGCAGGAAAAGTAGCACACGCTCTGCTTAGAGAAATGAACTTCTTTTATACATTTATTTCTAATCACAACTGATATAGTCAGAGAGTCATACAGCACGGAAACAGACCCCAGTCCATGCCGAACTTAATTCCAAACTAAATTAGTCCCACTTGCCTGCTCCTGGCCCATATCCCTCCAAACTTTTCCTATTCATGTATCCATCCAAATGTCTTTTAAACGTTGTAATTGTACCTGCATCCACCACTTCATCAGGAAGTGCATTCCACACTCGAATCACCCTCTGTGTAAAAAAAAAATTGCCTGTTATGTCTTTTTAAAATTTCTCTCACCTTAAAAATGTGTCCCCCTTGTCTTGAAATTCCCCACTTTAGGGAAAAGACAACCACTATCAACTCTTTCTATACCCCTCATTACATTTTAAACTTCTTATCAGGTCACTTCTCAACCTCCTATGCTTCAGTGAAATAAGTCCCAGCCTTTTCAGCTTTTCCTTATAACTCAAAACGCCCATACCCAGCAACATCCTGGTAAGTCTCTTCTGAACCCTCTCCAGCTTCATAATATCCTTCTTATAACTGGGCGACCAGAACTGCACACAGTATTCCAGAAGAGGCCTCACCAATGTCCTGTACAAACTCAACATAACGTCCCAACTCCTATACTCAAAGGACTGAGCAGTGAAATCAAGCATGCCAAATGCCTTTTTAGCCATCCTGTCTATATGTGATGCAAACTTTAAAGAATTATGTATCTGCACCTCTAGGTACATCTGTTCTACAACACTACTCAAGGCCTGCCATTAATTGTATAAGCCCTACCCTTGTTGTACCAAAATACAATACCTCACATTTATCCAAATTGAACTCCACCTGCCATTTTTCAGCCCATTGACCCATTTGATCAAGATCCCTTTGTAATCTTAGAAAACTTTCTTCACTGTCTGCAATGCCACTGGTTTTTCTCCCAATTTCCTCCCACAAAATGATTTCTATGTTACTATAATTGGCTGAGCTAATAGGCGAGTCAAATTTGCATCTTAAAGATATTATCATAATCATTTTGAATGGTATAGTTGAATGGGTTCATGATGTCTTGGCAAAATACGAGAATTTCTAAGTGTCCATCATAGTTATGAATCTTAGTGTCTTGTAAACTTACAAAGGCTGGAATGCCCATTACTGATGCTATTCAGAGGCTTCATTGTTATTACAGTGCTCTAGATCTCTCTTATATGGAATGGCACTGCACTAGCCCTGTGAATTTTCATAACACAATTATGACTAGAGATAGTGTAGCCCTTGTCATCGGTATGTAATTTCCCACCAGCTAGATTGCTCATGGTAAGTCAGGAGGCTCCCAAATACTGTTCATGACTATTTTTCTTTTGCATGTTGCTCCGGTCCAACTCTAACACTCCACACAGTCCCGCCACACTTTCTAATTTGTCACGCTACTTACCCAACATTTAGTACTGAATGATCAGAAATTTTACCCGAACTAAACATTAGAAAGATCTATCCACCACAAATTCTGTTTGCCAACTACTGATTTCCAGTGTTTTGAAGCTGAACCAGATCATTTGCGACTTTCCTGGTGAATTTTAATCCAAGAGGACTTTATAATCATATATCTACTTTATTGCCAAGATTGCCAATGTCTAACCCTATAACATTGTCTAACCTTTCTTTTGCTGCAGCCTATCTGCTGAAGGATACTCCCATTCCATTGTTGTCTTTTTGACGTGACCAGTTCAAGACTAACCTGGCAAACCTCCCACTAGCTGTACTTCATAGACCTGAGTTTGACAACAACTCTGCCTGTATCCAGGACCCGTTCACCCATTGCCTATGTGCTTGCAGACTGACATTTTAAAATTCTCAATTTTGTTTTTAAATCCATCCATAGGATCACCCTTCTCTATTTCCATAATCTCCTCCAGCTCTCTAGCCTCCTGAGATTTCTATACTTGCCCATCTCTGACTTCTTGCCTATCTCTATTTCAATCATTCTACCATTTGAATTGGCTTCACTTACCTCAGCCTTAAGTTCTGGAATCTTCTTACTATATCCCATAGCATCTCATTCTTTAACATAGCCGTTGAAATCTACCTGTTTGACCAAGCTTTCAATCACCTTTCTTAGTACCTCCTACGCAATTCAATATCAAATTTCCTTTTATAATGCTCTTGCAAAGAGCCTTGTGACACTTTACTGCCTCAAAGGTGCTAAATTAAGACATTATCAATATAATGTTTTATAAAGACTGATATATTAAACTTAGGTGTGATTTATTCTTCTGCCATTGGTACCTCTGTAGGTAACCATTAAAATGCGCACTAATTGCTGTACCTGGACATATCCTGAGGTTATTGAAAGGCTAATTGTTTCTCTGGGAATTATGCTTGACTCAAATATGTGTCTGATCATTTATATAGTCTTAGTGCTGGACTGAGTTTTGTTAGTTGTGGATGTGGGTGGGAAATTGGGTGACAATGTTGAAGTTCCTATGCTACAACTGATGCTCACTGCTAGAACACATAACAACAATAACAAAGTCTTTCAAACCCCATAATTTTTGGAAGAACTCCACTTGTTTCTCATACAGCCAGCCATACTGGCTTGTTTGCCATTTATGGACACAGCAGTTTTTTTTTGCAGAACAAGCACATCAATAAAAGTCAAAGAAGATAAAATTTTCAAGATTGCTTATTGATCAGCATTTACAAGGAAAAATTGTAAGACTAATACAGCACCTATAACCAAAACATTTCTCAGATGGTAATTAGCAATATTTAAAGTGAATACCAGATTCTAGGAGCAGGTAAGAAACTGAAACATTCAGGAACACTAATTTCTAGCACAGGATATTGCAGAGACTAGAAAAGGTGAAAGGCAACCATGAGCTTTAGGCTGATTAGAATTTTATGTTACTTTCATTGTGTGTGGATGCTGCTGGCAAAGTTGCATCTGATGCTCATATCCAGTTGCTTAAGAATGTTGTAATGAATCTTGTCAAGCTGCTGTAGTTAAACAAAGCGTTATGGAATGGTATATGTCATTGGCCAGGCATGAGTAAACAAAAGCATTAGGTTCCAATTTTTCTTTTATCCAGTGAAAATAACGATGATATTGAGTTGACACATTTGAAATTTCCTTGACATTGAAATGAAAAGAATGGTTTTATTTTGGTCGGTTCATTGAAGGCTCTGTTTATTCAAAGGAAACACAATAACATGAACATTTATACCAATTTCAAGATTGAAGAAAGTAATTTGGTTTAATCTGTTTGTGCAAATGCTAACTTCACATTCAAGCTATTTTAATTGCTTTTTCCTACTTCTTTCCTTAACTTTGTTTTTCTTATTTGTGTTTGTCTAAGATCACTTTAAACTTTTGAGGTTGATTTGGCTTCAATACATGTGTTATTGTATTCTAATCAACATTTTGTGTGGGGGCAAAGATCCTTCATACCACCCCCACTCCCAAATTTCCAGTACTCATTGACAATTTGTTCTTGCTGATCACTGATCTGTGGTAATAATCTTTTATTCATTACCTTCTCAATCTTTTTCAAAATTGTGGACGCTTTTTAGATTCCCATTGGCCTTCACTGAATATAGCCCTACTATTTCAACCTTTAACTATATCTGTTATAACTTGTAATAGCCCATTTAGATCTGAGTATGCAGAACTAAACAGTACTTAAACTGTGTCCCAATCAAAGTATTGTGTAAATTATTCAATTTTTGCTTTGTAATTCCCTTGTACATAAAATTTATAATCTAATTTCAATTCCTTTAGCCCTTCACAGGTGTAGTTCAGATTTTAATGATATTTCAGCTGTTCTACTTCATTTAAGAATTCCGCCATTTACAATAGATTTCCAATGTCACTTTCTTCCAAACAATTACTTTGCTGCCATCTATGTTGAACAGCAAGTCACATATCTAGACATTCCTCTCACTAGTCTAAGCTATTGTTCTACTGTACATTCTACTTCACACTTTGCGATTCTCTACAGTTTGGTATTTCTGTCCAGTGTCAGTTCAATATACTTGTCTTTCTACACTATTATGTTTGTGAATTTGGTCCTAAGTTGAAGGAAAGGTTAGAGGACTAGGCGTGCAATTCTTTCCCCTTAAAGTATTACATTCCATCATTGTGAATAATACTTTGGTTTAATGTCATTGTTGTTAAACATTAACATCTGGGACACAGAGATGTGTGGAGTTCGTTGCTATGTACAAGTTCCTCTGTAGTGCAAGCATTAATTTCAGACACTGTAGCACTACCATTGACAGGAGGTTATAATTACAACATTTTTTTTACAGTATTTTACAATTTTTTGATTAGAAGTGTGAAGTTGGATGTAAAAGTGGACTGCAACTTGAGGCAAGGTGCGTTTACCACACAATTTCATTACTTTCAACTCACTGCATATGCAAGTACGCATGCATGGATACAACAACAAATTTTATGGGCAGTTGGTCCGGAAGTTCTCCCCCTGCTGGGACCTTCCAGGTTCCAGCTTCCAGCAAGCATATTTAAAAGGCACCTGGACAACATTTCATTCAGTGCAACTCAGCATCACTTAACCTACGCTCATCACCATTGGCTGTCCCTGTCACCTGTCAGAGACTAGGTGAGAAAACCAGCGTCATGCTTTAGTGATACCTCCTTA